CCTGAGCATGGAACGGCCGACCCCCCCCCCCCCGGAGTTGTGTTCCCGCCAACGACCACTTTTTCCCACTTATCTCAGTTAGAAGAGAATCCCTCTGAACAGAAAAATTACGTACGACATTGGTCTTGGTCGAATGTGCTATGTCAACGAATCATCGAGGACCTCGCATTATCCCTCGCACATCATGCCGCTAAGTTTCTGGCTTGACGAGCACGCTGTAGTACATGCACTCGTCTCTCGACTACCTTCGGATCGACAACCCTGCCTAGGTATTGCCCGCTGCCCTGCCTCTTCACCGTGATTTTTCTGGCACATCCCACGGTCTATGCTTCGTACGGATAAAATGACATCAATCAATGAATGCCGTACGCACAATGGATCGAAGCTAAATGTAGTTCACCTCAGGCATGGACAGGTCATCCATGAAGATGGTCATCTTCTTGCCACCGGGAGGACCAAAGTTCTTGCCTCCGCGCTTGTCCAGCTCCACTTCGATGGAGTTTTGGCACATGAACGGTGTTGTTGCGCTCGAAAAGTTGATCCTGAAAACGGTGGGGTCGGAGAGAGTGACAAAAGCATTGTTGCGTCAATTGGTGTACGCTGATATGCTAAGGCAGGTCGATATTGACGGAAGCATATAGATTTGGTCCGTAAACATTTGGACAAACACAGCTTTGGCGAGGGCCATCTGCTATTCACAGTGTGTGACTGCCACGATCAGACCGGGCTTTTTCGGGCACAAACCTCTTGACGGCGGTTTTGACAGGGTCCAGCTCAGTGAAGAACATGAGTGCCGTCGACGTCTTGGCAGTCCCCTCTGCCCCGACCATGAGCACCGCCTTCCTCTGCTTGTGAAGCATCCGCAGGAGGAACAGGGCACGCGTCGAGTCCATCGTGGGCACGAGCAAGTTCGAGAAATCGAGCACATCCGTCGAAGGGTACTCCCACAGAGGGGGGCGCCACCTGCGGGAGGACAAACAGCGTTTGGAAATATTGTATTTGTGAGTGTATGTCGATGGGGACAGGTTGGAAAGGGTGAATTGCCTCCTTGTCCGTACGATTGTCATCAGGTTTTCGTTGATGGCCCGAAGTACCTGACGACATCCACGAAATAGATCACAACAACGACAACACACAACGGAAGAGGGTCGAGCAATTTTGACGCTGACGAAAGCCGAACCAGGACAATCGACCTTTGGAGCATTTCCAAACGGTTCACCGAAAGCTCAACCACTGACGGTACGTTGGAGCTCATAACATCGGGTATTCAACACCAGATGATGTATCATGACCATCGATAGGAGACTCACTTCTCCCATTCGAAGGTGCCCAAATTGACGTAGTACTCGAAAATGGTCTCGCCTTCCTCCAAGTCCGGCATGACGTGGTTGATGTCCAGAGCGCGCATCCACTGGTCGAACTTAACCCTGTTGAAACCCCGAGCCAAAAGTACGAAGAAGACCCAAAGTTGACTTCCTACGTGATATGTTTCTACACAGAATAACGGGATAATCGCTTCTGATGGGTCACCGCGTGCGACACAGGGTCGCATGCAAATGGAACATCATGACCAGTGATGCTTCACCAGTTGGGCAAAGATATCCTCTTCTCCGGGTAGGGTTCGATATATGTACATGTCAGGTGGCAGAGAAACTCGGACCCATTTTGTCTCAATCGGTGCATATATAAACAAAACTGATCCTGCAGCCCGACTCACTAGATAATAGCGAACCGAAACTGCTCTGTGTTTAACGTGAACGTTAAGCTTTGGCCGACCAACCCGCCAGTTTCGGGAAACATGCTTCGCCACAGACCTACCTGTCTTCGAATTCAAGTAATCCGCCGACCGACCAAATGAGCGAGTAGACGAAGAGCTTCTCCAACTCGATGGCGAGGTTGGGTCCCAGGGTGGCGCAGCCAGACCCGGAGGTCATTCCCGTGATGAGGTCGCACAGTCCCGCAGTCACCCCGACGCGGCTAGCGGTCATGACCTATAAATGCATCGCAACCAAAGCATATATTCATCGCAGGCCAAATCATTTTTTCTGGGTGGGTGTTTAGAGGACATACTATGCAAACCATCGGAGAGCGCAGCTGTGGGAAGCCGAAGAAACAATCCTGAATCATCTGCACACGAAAAATCGCATTGCAATGCTGCCACCCGGCAAGGGGTGAGATGGAATCTCGACAAAGGTACCAGTGCTACAGATTTCTCAAACGAAGAGCTGCTTTGAGAAGGAATCGTGGAGCAACTGAGGCCGCACACATGGGGTGAGCGGAGTTGTGGGGAAAACACATAACTCCTTGGTATATATACGTTGCATTGTTGCCGCCTTGTTAACTTGATGCCCGCCGGCGAGTCTCTTACACGCAAGATATCCGAACGTCGAAGATACTGCAATGCTGCATTGTTTCAGCCAAGTGTGTCACCGTGCGGTATACCATAGTATGCCTGGACCTTACCTGGTTTGTGTTGCGGTTGAGGAAGTCGATACAGTGCCCGGGGTTGGTGGGCTCACTCGCACCCATCCACCTGCAGTGGAGACCGAAGCACAACAACAGCCAAACGTGACGTTACTTTCAATCGACCTATGTTGACTCCTATATGCTTCAATCTGCAAGGCAATCGGCGTACTGCACAGGTCGGTATCGCTGCCTTTCCTGGATGATTCGTTCTGTGATCGCATCGGTCGCGATCGCCACACGATGATACTCGAAACAAGCGCAGTAGTGTGAATTAACACAGGTCGTGTGAACTGTGCGAGACAAGATCCTGCTAAGGGAGCGTCCAAACCTTGAGAACAGTTCGGTGAATACGGGTTGCTCTGCCGCGGGCCGCTTTAAGATCCAGCCCTCCACTACGGGTGACCAGTCCAGGTCAGTGTCCGACACGAATATGATGCCGGCTCGAGACACCGTTGCTGGAGAGGCGTTTACCAAGGTTTCCACCTGAGATAAAAGTCAACATATTAGCAAGATTTTTAGGGGAGTAGGCGTTTGACCGCAGTGGCATTCGCCATTGGCCTACCTTTCGGGGCGGAGACAGAACAAGGGATGGTAATGTGTCACCTGTGTGTCCCGACCGATGTCGTCTGACCAGATCTCGGAAGAGACAGATTCCGTCTTTAAAGTAGCTTTGACATTACACGACATATGACTGCCCATGCATCCGGTGTTTGGTCGATGACATGATCCCGGTTGGCATGGTCTTGTCCCTACCAAAGATCCTTGCTTGTTTCCCGCATCTGAAAGCCGTTCGTTCGCGTGCCGTCGTAGCGCGTCGTTTGCTTCCTACTATTCCTTCACGAACGCGACCAACAACATATGTAAACGTACCTCGAACATTGCCTTCACATTGTCGGTCATGGGCATGCGGTCTCCGTTGGCGAGGGTCAAGATCTTGTTGTCGTCGAGCACGGTGTTAAGGTCTTCGATCCAGATCGCGTCGACGGGACCGTCGGCAATGATCCAGGTGTTGTACGCGTTCTGTCGATTGTTGTACTTGGCCCACATGGCGGCGAAAACACCTGGGGCGTGCCAGCCAGGTGCACAACACGTGCGTTTACTTCGGAATGAAATTGTGTCGGCTAGAAATCAAGGCGTAGCTGGGAGCAGGCGAGACGGGGGCTTCTACAACTCCAGGTTGATTTCCTGCCAAAACCTGTCACTGCCAATACGTATCACGGATAATACACGTAGAGTTTGCTCATGCCATCTCGGAGACAAATGTCGATCTTCGAGCCTACACGCGCAACGAGCAATGCCCACCACCGGAACTATTTTGAAGCAAATGGTTCGGGTGGGAGCACCGAAATAATTCATTCTGTATGTTCTGCTTGTCCGTATAGGTTTCCTTGCCAAACGGAGCTTCAACATTTCCGTCTACCACGTTGTTGACCCAGAAACAACATGCATGCTATAGTGGTGATCCGATATGCTACGAACCAACTATCTGACGGTTTCCAAAACAATCGCCGACCTTGGACAACCGAGAACGGAGCCTTACCCGTGTTCCACTCCCCAGTGGCGGGGTCCACCTCGCCGTACATCTCCTGAGCGCGAATGGCCTTCGGGTTAAAGCGGCTGTCCTTATGCGTGATCCCCGTGGTCTTGTCGAGGGCCATTCGCAGGGTGCGGAAGATCTTGGTCTTACCCCCGCCGGTAGGTCCCACGAGCATGATACCGTGCCTCACAAGGGTGGTCTCGTAGAGCTTGTGAGGATCGAGGCAAAGGGCGCCAAGGGGTACGGAACAGCGAAAGGCACGAAGAAACGCCTAAGGTACATACCGCTGCGAAAGGGGAACGCTTGGCCAGGGTTTAGTGCCGTATCACGTCTGCTCATAAACAACCCCGCACGATGAGGAAAAAGAGAGGGAGGCAAGGCAGGGTAACAAAGATAAACAAGTTTCACAAAATAGCCAAGAACGAACTGAAAGCGACAAGCTCTTCAATGCCTTCGTAGGATGCCATTCTTACCTGAATAACCTTCGCTACCCAGCCTGCGTGGTATACCAACCTTTCGGTTTCCACGGCAACCTGGTACGATTTATTTTATGTGAAGGAGGCAAAGACGGCCGGACGAGGACAAGGAGACATATTGGTGGTGTGTACCACACATGCACATGTTGAACGGTAAAACACAACTGCAACAGATGCGCGGGTGCATTCTTGAAGCGGGGGTGCCGATCGTACTTCGTTAATATTGCAATTGCAGCCGCCAATCAGAACCATGCAGGCTAGAAGTTAATGCGACGTACGTCCTATCGCTAAGCTTTCCCTCCGTTCGCTCGAAGTACCCCGTCGGCCTCTGCATGGCTGAGACTAAGGTACGATGGTAGCACACAAAATGACCGCGATGCTCCAAGTAATTGCTGTTCCATTTGTCGTTGCCAATCATTCGTCTACCCCAGCGAAATGACGTCCCCATGCGGGCAACGAACCTGAAGAGCAGCCTCAATCTCGGGGTATTCGCCCTTGGGAGGAGCGGGAGTCGACGGGAAAAGATCTGCCAGAAGAGACAAGAAAAGGGGGACATCCTGCGCGACGAGCTTGCTGAGGTTCATGTCTCGGAGAGTCCGGTACATGAGGAATGCCTCCGCTTTGTCGGGGTTGTCGCGCTTCGTCTTCCCTGCCGTCCGCAGCACCTGCGCATGATTTTGTGATCGTTTAGGGTGTTGATATTCTGTGCATGTTTCTTTGTGATGCAACAAAACAGATACGGTTGGCCGAATACCGCACCCAGTAATGTGACAGTCGTAGCGAGACAGGTGAGCAAGAGCGTGTTGCCAAAATTTCAAAGATGCGAAATTTCCAGGCAAGTTTCGTGGCTACGACTGTTTTGAGTCGAGCTTCATAAAACGAGTGCGCAAAAAGGGCGTGCATAGTAAATGTGCCACGTGTTTTGTGTATCATGCACACGACGGCATCCGCGCGACAGCAGCTGAAACTCACGGCGAGGATGTTCCTGAGCCCCCAATCGTAGTGCTTCTGCGCGGACAGCTGCTCCTTGCAGGTGTTGTACAGCACGAAGAATTTCTGGGACAGAATCTCAAACTCCGCGTACCCAACGGAACAGAGCTTCACCTATGTACGTACATGCAAGGTAGTAATGGCGAGAGGCGACACACTTTTAGCTTGCAGGGGTCTCGATAGTTCAAATCTTTGGACACTTGCACTGATAATGTGGGTCGGATGGTATGAAAGCTTGACTTTGCGCGCAATTGCAACCAACCAATGACCATTCGAAATCCTGGGCAAAATATAGGTTGTCCTCTGTGTGTGCACCCATCCAGACCCCAAAGTTGTATTCCGACGCTCAAGCGCCTTTTTGAATGCATCTGCTCTCTACCCGAAACGTTGAAACGTTCTGCTGTGATATGTGATCCACATGATGACGTTTCTGACGATTTTTGAATCAAAAAGGAACCATGTACGAGGTAGAACACAATGTGCTTTTTCGAACAGAACCAAAGCAACGGTAATGGTATCACCGCCGCGGCCGCCAACAACGACAACAACAACGACGACGACGACGACGACGACGACGACGAAATCAACAACAAGGACGCAATACAACCCATGCCTTCATGATGATCTGGAAGTCTGGAACCATCATGGCCACCCCACGGAACAACGCCTTGAGATTTTCAGGCAACTCTTGTCGTCCAGCGTAACCGGGGTTCATGGTAATGAAGAACCCACAGACGGGCTTGAGGAGGATGTTCTGAGGGTCGCCGGGGAACTGGAAGAACTGCATCCCAGTCTTCTTGGCATTTTGGATCGCCAACACCTGGTGTCAAAGGGGAGGGTTTCACGTGTTTCGCCATCTTCCCAGGTCCTTGTGTATTTACTGTCACGCTACCGTCACTTTCTAGTGGTAGCTACAACCAGCCAGCGAGGGGAGGAAGCGCTCTGAGTACTGAGGGGGACGTCAGGGGACGTTTCGCTGTTGCTAGCGGGTTGAAACACTTCCACCCTGTCTTCTTGGCGTTTGAATCACACACCTGCAGGCAACGAAAACTGCCGTAACTCGTTTTCACGCCAATGGCGCTGTTCTTTCCCCGTCTATTGTACTCAACGTCTGCAACTTCGACCACAACAATAGCAAGAGCAAGATCACTGACGATCAACTCATGTGATGACGTGGTGCGAAGCAAGAACGACACATCCAGTGTACGGGCAAACCGAGAGAATAGGCACACCTGCTGGGCCACTACAGAGAGCACAGGCAGCAGGATGCGGTTGAACTCGTCGAAGCAGCCCCACAGCCCTCCCTGGCACAGCCCCTTGAATATCTTGGCACAGTCGGTGTACTTCTGCTGGTCGGTGCAGTTTGTCACCACCTTCGGAAGTTCCGCACGAAACGTAGTGATGATCGCGTGGTTAGCACCGATGTTGACATCAGGTGGGTCGATAGGCGTGAATACGCGTTATTGTTAGCGACACCTTGCGAAGGTGCCTGTGTGTTGCTTCTAAGGGTTCGGGATAGCGTCCTGCCGTTCATATCTTCTTCATGTTTGCGATATTCAACCAATATCGCATCAGTCAACAAGCTCATTGTTTCTCCGCACTTCTTTCGGCGTGAAAGAAACATACGCGCACGCGCATCCACTAGTACCATCCAACAGTATTCGTTTTAGTCGCTCTCACCACAAAGATCCCGAGAGCCCGCCCGAGGTCTTTGACAGACTCTGTTTTTCCGGTTCCCGCCGGTCCTGCCGGGGCACCGCCGAAGTACATGCCCAACGCTTGCGCAAGGGTGATGTACGCCCTGTAAAATTGATCGAAACGAGGTTCACGGAGGAGGTCAGTTAAATTATTGAATCTTGTTTTGGGTAAATAAGTAGCGACGGCTTGCCTCTCCACAGATGGGTCACGATGGAGGCATTGATAGACAGGAATATAAGGCTGGTTGATCTTAAGAGTAGAGGAACCCAACCTGAAAATAACCCCCTTACCTATCGGTCAACGGCGTTACCACCAGCCGCTCCTTGGAGCCCAGGTACTCGAACTGGTAGTTGAAGTCGACGTCGGTGATGGCGATCACGCAAGCGCCGTCGTCATTGACGTCGTCGGTGGCATTGGGTCTCCAGTAGAAGCGTGCCTGGTGGTTTTGTCAAGGGAGACGTGAGTTGGGGGGGGAAATCGTGACATACAACGGCGGTTGTGCGACATATTCCTCAAGGATAACTCTGAACACACACGGTATCACAACAGTAGAACTCACATGCGTCTGGCGGTTATACCATGCCTGGAAACAGACGACATCCAATCATGGTTTGTGTTGGATAGTTTCAAGCGTGTTATCGATGTCTCACACGCTCAAGCACCAACCCCTTGGTCTCGGTCGCAAAGAGCAGCGAATGTTCTGGCGTCATGCATTGCAAATGAACACGCCGGAGAGGTCTCGCGTGAGGTTACGGCTGCAAAGCCCTACATATTCAAACGAGAAGCCCTCCCGATTGTGTTGGATTTGCGTGTGTCGCTGTTTGACGACGTATATGTTGACGATACCTGCTTGAGCCATTCGAAATCGTTCGCGTCTGAGATGCGCTTGTGCCTGTGCAGGGTTGCGAGGTCGTTCATGACGTCCCTCTGGTGTACGTGGATTGTCACGAGGGTCTCCACCTGTGATGTAGCGACAACATTGGGCAGCGGAAAGATTAGACCGGGGGAATAAGGTCATACTCGTTTGATTGTGCCGACCGCAGGAGCACATCTTGCCGCAACAATGGACCAAATGGTAGACCTCCCGTGGGTTTTTTGCAAGACGGATGTCCATAGATTCTTCCATGGTTATGCGAGGAAGATGGTCATTCAGATTTTCAGCTAGCCCGATACGGAGTGCGATTGGGTGCTCCGTCCGGCTTACGTTGCGATCTCTGATTTTGATATCTCCTACATTCAGCCAAGGTTTTGAATGACCAGAAAGCGAGCTCAAATCCAGCACGCATAGACCGCCCGTCTCCATCGTTCCTTCCACGTATGTATGCAGTTCGGACAAACATACTACCTCCCTCCGTGATTTACAGTTGTGCGAAGCCACGAAAGGCAACTGACATGTTTCCAAAGTGGAGGTCTACCAGACGCGCTACCTCACCTTGGTACGGTTTGAAGACGAGCCCAGGTCCTGCAAGCACCAGCTGGACATTTCCCTCAGCACTTCGAGCTGCTTCTGGTTGGTCTCCTTGATTATGTTTTTCTTTTGTCGGCACTGCCATTGGATGAGCGGGAAGGACGTTGACAAGCAAGATGCAGCAGCCTCAGTGGGTGATGAATATTGCTTTGGCATTTGGCAAATCACTCATTTTACTACGTCGTTGCTATCCTTGGCATTCTTGCGTTTGCGTGTGCTTTTCTCTCGTTATTGTCGCTGTTGTTGTGCGAGTTCAAGCCAACACCAAGCATCTTCATCAACCAGCGTACTCAGTAAGTCACACACAGATCGTGTAGATTTTATCTGTATATATATGGCTCAGGCACGTGATACCTAACACCATCCCTCGTTCCCATACTTGACCTGTATGACGTTTGTTTCTGAAATCCTGTTACCGGCTACACAGTCCTCTCACGCCCCATTCTAGCTGCCGTTAGATACGGCTACAGAGTCCATGACTGCCTTATGCACACAAGAGCGAATGTTATTGCCTGATTGCAGAACCCACCTGCTCTAGCGCCGACTGCACGTCTGTGGTCCACATGAGCTGGACGCCGAGAAGGGCGAACTGCGCGTAGGAGCTGTCCACAAAGCCTCGGAGCCGAGAAATGTCCGAGCCGACATTGGCGACGTCAGCGGCACAGATCCGCGTCAAATCCTTCATAGTCAGCTGATAGTGTGAAGGGCGGAAAACACAGGAAATCACAGGAACGTCAAAAGATGTGTTACCATGCTGAATGCCTGTATTGATGGTGATCGCCAGGAGATGGTTGGGCGGACATGGGTCAATGCACCGAAGGGCTTCATCGTAAGACGAAATTGCACAAAACAATTTGGAACAATGCCCAAACATCAACCATGCTACGTATTCATCGATTTTGGCCACGAGGGGAGCCAAAGCGGCTAAATCCTCGAAAAAGAACGTTCTGCATTTATTTTACCAGCGCTTCGGAAGGAAGGTGAGAGTATTCTTCTCTCACACCTGCATCTTGAACAGGAGGTCGCAGAGCCAGTCCTCGATGTTACCCTGAGCCTTGACGGCCACGCTGAAAGGAATCGTTTCCGCGCCGGCCCCCTGGCCGTTCATCTTCTCGATGATCTGCTTGTGGGTGCAAAGATCATAGACATATAGTCGGTCAACTTCTTGTGGGCGTAACTCAAGTCTTCGTGTGGACAACAATTGTCATTTTGCATGCGGTTTACTCGAGGCTTGCGGGGGCTGTGTAGCACAAGTTTTTTCGGTGCTCCACCGTTCCTGAAGCATGTGCACTACACCCAGCACCCTGTTTTACTTGCCTGCTTGTCATTCTTGTTATGATGCACCGTCGAGATGGCATCGAACACCTTCTCGTAGTGGTCGTTCATGCTCAGGGGGTCGCTGCCCTGGGACAGGATGACCAACAGCCCTGAGCAGCGTGCAGACAAGGAGGAGGGTGATGGTCAAAGCCCAGAGGCGTGTGCATGGGGCTTCCGAACGACTCGAGCCAGCGTGGATCGCTGCAAACTAGCCGGGGGCGCAGGGAAAAACATTATGCTTGATACGTGCTCCTACTACAATGAGTATTGACGCTGTGATACCCTACCGGGGTTGGAGACGAAGTAGAAGCGGGGGAACTTGTTCCTCTTCTGCTCCAGGTAACCCTCCAGGCTCTTTTGACACTTCTCCAGCTCCGTGTACATCACCTGGCGAAACGTACCAACAATTACCACAGGATGTCTGTTTCTAACGACCTCATTCAACTGGTGTGGTGCGCTGGTTGTCGCCTACGCCGACTGCGTGGGTTACTCTGCACGAGCTACCCGCCACCAATTTTGCTCTCTGGACACTCTGCGATTGCTTTGCATGAGTTTTGTGTTGGCGACTATGCTCGACATGAACTGGTTCGCGTCTTGCGACATTTCGATTCGTAACGATAATCCTAGCAGACATGTCTTCAAGGTGTTAGAAATATCTATCCCGCGCCGACGTAGCCACTGATTATTATTTTTGGATGATCTTTGTCCATCAAGCCTGTAGCATAGTACACAGATGACTTACGGGCAGAGACGTTCGGAGCATCTCGTTCGCCGCACATTCGCACACATTGCCGGTTTCCGTTGCCTTCGCCATTATTTTTGCCTATGTGCGTCATACCCAGGAAGATTGATCGATGGACATGATCACGTGGAGGAGGACAATATCATTAGCCAACACAATGTTGCTGTGTTGCCGGTGTAAAGGATTGAACATATATGCCCTGAGAAACTATCATGCAAAAGCGGGTAGTTGTGAAAGCAGGTCGAAGGGTTCGGATGAAGCGACTCCAAAATTCGAAATACCATCCAGCGACGCGCTACAGTTGAAAATTACGACAGTTTCAGCTGGGCCACACATCAACGAAACAACAACCGCAACGACGACGACAACTTCGGCGGCCTCAAATTTTCATCATGCCTGTGAAGATGTCTCATCGAAGCGCAAGCATCTTCAAAGCGTTGAACAATTGCTTACTCACCCAATCCTTGTCAATCTTGGCGAATTTCTTTGCCTCCATGGGCATCTGCTTGGCAATGTCGCCGCCAGTGAACACAGACTCCAACGAACACCACATCATCTGGACCTTCAGCCTGTTGGATCAATTGTTGGAACCACGAGAAATGGTTTCGAGAGGTTCCACTTGCCTTTTTTTCACGCGAAACATTCAAGTATAACCTGGAGAATATGCCACCCGCTCCACGGTTACACTTTGCGCTGCGGTCATTCAAAAAAGACCTACTCGCGTGAATAAAGCTCTTAGCGTTGTTGGGAGAATTTTCATGAATCAACGTCCTTCCGATTGCGCACGAGGTCTCACAAAATCCAGTACTGAACTCCACGACAACATTTCAGTGCCCGATTTCGTCGAGATTCTTGACTCTCACCCCGCGCAACTACAAAAAAATGAGACAAAACAAGAATGGCACCTATATCAGCATCCTAACCTAGCTTTCTAGGTCGTCGCACCAATATACCATAAGTTGTTCGCTGTTCTATGGATCGGTTTTAAATACTCACCATCGCTCTAGAGTATCCGACGTGTCGCTGAGGACCTGTAGCTCGTTCTGGGCCTCCTCGCGGAAGGGCGTCACGTGCCTCATCGAGAGCATCGTTTGGAGGTTCATCTGTGTGCACCAAAACGTGGGGTATTCGGTGCGCGTTGACGAGGGCCGTGTGGGCACCACAACATCACTGGGCACATCCGGACGCCGGCGGTCAATATCGTTCCTTACAGGAACTTCTGAGTACACGGTTCCATTTCTGAATAGACAGTCACAATGAAAATGTTCCTCGTTAACAGTGGTGGCACTGCTGCTGCTACAACTTGTATTGCAGCCATCCATGACTCTGCTCGCCTACGTCCCCTTGCTCCTTCTTCTTCAACCTACCAGCCCTCCCAACGATGAAAACCAAACCACAATAACAGCACCCAAATCCCAATGTTGTTGTTAACCAACAAGAACAGGAGAATCGAACCTGAGCCTCTTCCAGCTCCTCGACGATGGTGCCTGTACCCTTGAGCACGTTGATCCCTCTCCCCTTCCACTCGCTGAAAACGAACGACTCTGCCCCCCACTTCTCGGTGATCTCCGCGAGCCCAACCTCGATTTTGAGCTGCTTATCCGCCCCCTCCGTGATCTCTTCGATGTACTGCTCAACCACAGCGTTGGTGCGGCTAGGGTTAGTGTCAAGGCTAAGGTCCACCTTAATGGAAAGGTGAGAGACCCGCCCTTTTGGTTTTTAAAGCTGGTTCTGGTACGATTGGACCCTAGAAAAAAGTGGTGGCTAGGGTTTTTAAGTACGACTTTCCATTTGCTATGAGAGGCAACAACGACATTGAGTGCTCATTCTGTTCACCAATGGCGGTGTAGCACGTAACCTCAGAAGGAAGAGGATGCCCCAAAAACACCGTGTGGGCAAGCCATTGGTGCATTGGGTGCGCCCAAAAGTTCGCCTTGCACTGAACAAGTGCTCCTTTCCACAACAGTCGGAGCAGTACATCGAAGAAACCGCGAAGTGGGCGTCCAAAGGAACCCAGTCAAGACTGGGGAAATCCAATATTGTGGCCAGCGTGTCCCTCTTTTACTCCTTCTCATCTCTCACGATGGCCAATATAACACACCTCCTTCTTGTCGACCATTCCAATTTCCAGCAGGGTTTGGAGCCGGAACTCCGGCCCGACTTCGAACTCCGATCCGGTCACCTGATTCGGCAGAGTGACCGGGGAAGCAACATTCCAGGTTGAAAAGGGTGGTGTGTTTGTCCCGGCCTGTCAATCCTTCGTCGTTCAGCGGCGTTGACAAAAGTCCACCGCACAGCAACAGCACCAAATACACAATACATATGCTTCTTCGTGCCGTTAGCGGCTGAAAGTGAGCGCGTCATGGGATGTTTTTAGACTATATTTGAAGGCATTGGAGTTGTCGACGATTTCAGCTTTGTCATGAGTCAACATGTAGCTGGTTATCAATTACCTCCATGACTTCGACCCAGTGACGAGGCTGAATTGAGTCTTTGCTTAGCTCTTGTAGGAGGGGCAAAACCGTCAAGAAGTCGTCAATGTCGGTCCTGGGTTTTGCACCAGAGAGGGAGAGAGAGAGAGAGAGAGAGAGAGAGAGAGAGAACCGGTCTTTCTCTTGAGCAAAGCGAGTTGGTTGTACGGTGTTGTCATGCAGCAGGCGAGTCGAACGAGTAGGACCTCGGCAAACAAAGGGGACGGATTATTTGACTCCCCATACCTCTTTCTGTCCGCACCCGGCTTCACACGCAACCTTCGCGGCGTAGGCTTCAGTACCACGTCCCATGATACATCAAACTCGGTCCGATTTAAGAATTATCTCTATTCCCTGGAGTTTCGTTTGTGAGTACGTGCCAACCTTAGCTGGGTGAAGGCATCCCACTGCTTCAGTCTGCCCGGTAATTTCTTGCAGCGGGCAGCAAAGTTGTCCATCTTGTCGGTCATGTTGGCGATGTTCGACACTACCTCAGTCCATGGCACCTGATTCGATCAGATGGACAGAAGGAACAAAGAAAAACACCACAAGGAGAAACACAGAGGACAAAGGGAACAGCGGAGTACACGGAGGGGTGGATTTCAAGATTAAAGCGAAGGAAGAGCTCACGGTGGAGCGTAGATAGCGAAGTTGCGGCTCATGTTGGCAACCTTTGGTACCAACTCTGAACACCGTTGGTACCTGACACACAGCTCAGCTCATCATCCGGAACCGAAACCGGAACTCACATGCTTCCACTCTCCCAGTGTTTCGAGCACGTCGACGTAAAGACCGAACAGCTGGTCAGAGAGCTTCAGCTCCTGTGGAGGAAAGCCAGGACAGCAGAATACCCAGAGCAGCAGGGTCAAGGAACCACACATAGATTGGCGGTGGCGAAATCAATCATGGCCTTGCCCGACGATCGGCTTTCTTACGGATGTGCGTGAACTTGCCTGTAGGGTTGAACCGATTGAGAATCATATATATCAGGCTGACAGAAATAGGCATGTTTTAGCACCGCGGAAAGGTTCCAACAAGTAAGCTGTCCATGACAACTCGCGCGAAACAATAACCCAGCCAACCGAACAGGATAAGGAGTCTTGAGAACACACATCCCGCCCTACACTCAGACTTGATGCTGCGATCATTCCGAGGAAAGCCTCCCCCAGAACTGAGAGAGCTCGCAGCGCCAACGGGGGAGTATCCTTCAGGCGAAAGGTCCTGCCACCGCGGCACGAGGAAAATTCAATACATACAGTAACTGAATCGCACCGAAGAAGAATAGTACTTATTGCGTGAATGCCTTGAATCGGCGTACCTTTCTGGTTTTTTCCAGGTCGGGATACTCCGTCAAGGGCAGGGCGAACAGCTCCTCTCCCCCTGCACGACCGCACACACAACGGCAGGAAAGGCGAGTCAGGTGAGGGCAACGCAAGCGAAAACCAAGCAGTGTGGCGGACAGTGGTGTATTGGGAACAGATGTTTTGGAAGCCAAGGCCGACCTTAAGTTCTTAGCTTCTTACGAGGTCACGGTCATCAAAGCAACGTGCCCTGTTGCGAGTGATGTGCGGCTGCGACAGTAGTAGTACTGAAAAATTCAAATCTATCAAATATCTTCTCCACTCCTACAGACCTCTAATTGTCACTCGCTAGCCACCACTTGCCTGTGTAGAGCTCATGCTTCCTTTCGCGAATCTTGGACTCTTCCTTGAAGCGGTTAAGCCTCTCCACTGCGTCCATTGGAGGAATACCCTGATGCACGCGGGGGTTTGGGCCGGATGGGAGCGAATTTTCGGTCGTTATACTTGTGACACTCTTTTCGACAATTCTCCCGTAGCACATCTCTTCATCGGGCTGAACGCATGTCCCGTTCAGGTTCATTGAGTTTCGATACGAACTGGAATGGGTTTGATGAAGGCAACAAAAAAAAGTCAGAAGTCAAACAGCAATTATCCAGATCGTTGACTGGCAACCTACCATATGTTGTAGCAAATTTGGGTGAAAAACTTCGACACTGGTCATGCGGAAAATCAACTCTGAACTATGAATTTTACTGGAACACACGCACAAATGTCGGACACGAGAAAATGGAGCGCATGAGATTTCGCAGCAGTGGGTGGAGGTAACGGGGCATGTTCATGTCTACCAACAATCCTATAGCTGTAGACACGAACCCGAATTAATAGTAGTCCCACACGCCAATCACCAACGCACCTGAACCATCGGTCCGTCTCTAACGAAGTCGGCCCGGAACTTGGTAACGTCCTTGGAGAAGTCGCGGATGTCGCGGATGAGCGCTCGCTTGAAGCTTATCTGAGTCTTGCTGAGCTCGTCCGCTCGGGACTCAGCCTGGTTGCGCCGTTTTTGTTTTGAGCACGCACCAGCGAAAGTGGAGAAGCACAGGCACCCAGACACATAGCGACGAAGAGGTACAGTGTTCATGACTTGCGTCGGCACAGCTTTGGGCCTATCTTCTCTTAGCTTGGTTTCATCTTCACCAAAGTGCACCCAAGTCGCACGATGGTTGTGCACGTTTCCGAAACCATGGAGTTGTTCGCGACAGACTGCCCATTGGAGAAGAAAGGAAAGAAATTGCGCAATCACAATCGTTACATCTGTGTGGTATCTCGCTGAGCCTATGCACCGGTTGTTGCTCTTGAAGGTTCTGTTGGCAAGACCCAGAACAAGCCATTATGAGACCCGGAGGGATACATACTTCCGCATTTCCCAAGATGGTTCGGAAAACGCCAGTAGCCCCAACTTGTCATGCCGCGCCAGCGAACGTACGAGTCTCTCGTCTTGAGGGTCAAGCGATAGACGGACCATGAGCCATGTCCGAGTCGGATTTAGGAAAGGTCACCTGCTTGATCAGCTTCTTCCAATTGGTACGAATGACGGTCTTCTTGTCGATCTCCTCTTTTTCCATGAAAGAGTTGCCAAGGTGATGCTCCAGCATCTGGATGGACAACGAAGTTAAGTGTGCTTTACACCGAGGTTGACAACTAGATTCGGGCTCAGCAGTGCAGCGGAAACTTAATGTGCCTCTCAAAACAGAGGGAACCGAGGGTTTCCACCGTGCGCAGAATATTGCTGTGGTTTGGACAAACGACATCAGTGCGGTTTGGAAAATGCACGAACCAAATGCCGTGCAAGCTGCCAGTCTTAGCGTCCCCGCGTCTCCGCTTCCTCCCCTTTCCTGCTCCCTTATGTAGCCATCTTCCTCCTCCTCAATATCTTACGTACTGCGTTATGCTAGCAGTCTCTCGATATCATGGCACGTCCTCACCTGATACATGTTCATGATCGGATTGATCTCCATGTTGATGCCAGACTCTCTCTGTCGGACCTCTTTGAGCATGTTCATCATGAAACGCAGGCCGTCCAGATCTCGCACCTCCTTCTTCAGTTTACCCATGGTCACCTGTACGTTGGATTACAGTGTTCGCCAAATACGGGAAGACATCAGGCCAACGCAATCAGTGCCCGAAGACCTCCAACCATATAAACTTTGAGACGGCGATGTGTAGCCAATACCAGGACCACAGTTACACAAAATCCATGGAAGGGTTTCTCGCCCTCCACCTCTTCGGATACTCGAAAACATACTTCAAACGTTCGGTATGGGGGTGTATCTTGTGACTTTGCGATATCTGTTGCTATCCTTTTGAAACAGTTACGCGTGTGGTCAGTCCCTCACTCCCTTCGTCGCGGCTATCCGTTTCTACTCTTTGACCTGCCAGCATAGTCTCTCGCAGACCCTGGCCTCTGCATGGCCACCATGAGCAGAGATGGATACTTTACAATACAGGCGGAATTGGACGCCAATTACAGCAAAAGAAACTGGTAGTTCAGGCCATGTCCCCGTAAACACACCCTTTCTTCTCCTTCTCACCCGCATGTACTCCGTGAGGCTCTCGAGGCTGTCCTTTGCCTGCCGGTGTAGCTTCTGGCAGTACTTGGTCTTCCAAGCGGAGCATTCCCGCTTCAGCTGGCTCTTCAAGCTAGAAGTATTGAGGCTCAGTGCTCCCATGTTATGAATCGAACCTATCCTATCTGTTGATTTCGAACATTCCCAAACACCGGTCAAAGGGAATGTAGCGGATTGGAAGGGGTGAAGAGGCAAAAACCGGAAGAAAGCTATCCATGGGGTTGCAAGGCAGTCGGGATTGGGTTGTGGAAGACTGTTCGGTTGAGAAAAGAAGACTGTGTTCGTGCAATACAAGCTGACACCAATGAACCACAGTAGCAGTCGAGGCCAGTCCAACCTAACACAGACTAAATCATTGCCCGACCCCTTTTTAGGGGGAAACAGCGGAATACAGCTGTTCCGGGGTCAAGGGCTGCACGTCATTTCTTGAACTTGCTTCAAGGTTGAGAGAGAGAGTTGGGGACTAAACGTAAACGTAAACGGTTGACGCCAAACGGGTGTGTGTCTTGTGCATGCTGTCGTTCTCGCCTATTTCATCTTCCGTGGCGCTGAAGGTCTTGAGCTTCGCCTCATAGTGGTCAAGACTCGGGTTCTTCGACATGAAGTCGTCGTACGCCTCGTCCTTGTCGTCTTTCCACAGCCAGTCGTAGCCGCCGAAGGACAGGAGGTAGTCGTTTACCGTATTCCGGATGCCCTGAACAAAGCGACAAAAGCGATGTAAGACGAATTCCGGCGTTTGGTAGGATTGGACGAGGTCAGCGCAGCATACTTCGGAGCCTTCAGTGACAAAAGCGATTTAAGACGAATTCCGGCGTTTGGTAGGATTCGACGAGGTCAGCGCAGCATACTACGGAGCCTTCAGTCCTGATGGAATCCCCTCCGTCTGTCTGTCTGCCGTCTGTCTATCTGCCAGCCTGTCTATCTGTCTGTCTGTCTTGTCTTGTCTTTCTTTCGTTCNTGAAAAAAACAAAAATGAAAACGACACAAAACCCGCGATTATACACGACACTGCGTCAAAGAATCGACAAAGGCAAAATACACCATGGAAACTCTCCTCTCTCTCTCTCTCTCTCTCTCTCTCTCTCTCTCTCTCTCTCTCTCTCTGTTTCTCTCTCTATATATATCGCTAACCTGGATGCACCCGGTAAGGAGCAGTGCGACTCTGACGATCTCGATGTCTTTGGTAATCCGTTCGAAGAAAGTCCTCACAGCCTTCTGCCCGACCGCCGCCATGATGCCAGCCCCCTCCGTGGGATTGGTCGCGTCCCAGTCGTTGACCTGTCAGTAGAAGATTTCAGAAGTCCGCTTCGCTTGGCGTAATATGTAAACCTTGAAGTGACAGCAGTTTCTGGTTTGGATGACATTGCCATCACATCAAGAAATTCAAAGCCTTCTTGAAGAATAGTCATGGTAAATATCTGTTTGATCGGGGGCTGCCTACCGGTAGAAAATCAGCATCGTGCCTCGAGCTTACCTGCTTGAAGCAGCCGAGGATAGCCTGCGCGCTTTTGTTGATGCAGCCCTGGATGTCGTCTAGTGACGGCATCAGACTTACCCTTGCCGGAGGCTCCAGCTGTACATCGACCTGGGCCAAGCGCAAAATACACGACATAGAAAAGAAAGGAGCGCGAGCCAACGAATATAACAACGGCGACGACGGCGACGACGATAACGACGGCCATCGACTTGTAAATCCCAACGCTCCCTTGGTTCGCTATAGCGAGCCAACGCGCGAGGATGTTCGCAGATGGCAAACGGTAAAAGCGTAGGGCAAAGGCATTCAAAACACCTTGCGAAATCAGGCATGGCCCTGTGCGTGCTGCTTGACGCGGTTGACTGTCCCTGGTGCGAAACGACTGTTCGACCCAACAAAGTTACGGTGAAATATAAACAAGCGAAAATCCCACCTCGAAGAAAGGCTTCTGAACGAAGAGGAAAACCCCTGTCCCGCCGGTCCTGGACTGTATTCGGTTCTTGAGCATGTTCATGCTGTTCTTGGCGCAGTGAAGTAGCGCCTGCAGTCGGACGAGAATAAAACGTGTTACATCGAGTGGTGGGGTGGTGCAGCACGGGTGGGTTTTGGCTTGTGGAGTCGCAAGAGCTGAGGATAGAAAGCAAGCACAACGAGCCAGCGAGCCAGCGAGCCCCAAAAAATGGTGTGGCGGTAGTAGAATCTCGATCTGTTCGTGGATGAGCAGGGATGAAAATTGCGAATATATTCCGACACGATCGGCGAGTGCCGTGCCAAAGTCACGAGAACGCTGTTCAGCACAAGGCACTCGGCTTGCGACGAGGAGGACTGAGTTGGAAAGAAGGAGCTAAATAATCAAGAGGCTAGGCGCACATCCCGGAAAAAATCCCAGGGCGCGAGAAAGCCCTGGGGAAGTAGAGAGCATCGCGTCGAAATCTTGATTGGGAAGAAAAAACAATAGGTGTCCTGGTCCTCGTATCATGAACATGGGCTATATTCTTCTTGTTCAGAAAACACTAAAAATGGAATCCCCTTGCCTGATACATGAAGTGATTGTAGTGCTTCTTGAGCTTGGTAACCTCCTCCTCGCTGACCGTCTCCAGGTGGTCATAGAGGGGATGAGCCCTGACGATCTTGATCAGGTCCTCCACCGCGTGCAAGATTTCAACATTTTTGCCCTGTTCATGCGAGCGAGAGAAAAATAGCACGACCGAGGCAAACACACAACGCCGTCCGATTGGCATGGGTTGATCAATTGAAACTTTGCACTCAAAGGTATGGCCAGTGTTAAACACGATGCGACACTTGGTTTCATCTTTGTAGGCAGACAGAATATGACCAAACAACCATTGCGCAACGATTTAGTATTGATCTTGAGCAGAATGACAGTCAAAGTGTTCTGAATCAGACGCCCGCAACGTTTACCATTCCACCGGCGTAACCTTCATGTTTTTGCGTGCGCGAGTGCGTGAGTGCGTACATGCGTGAGGGTATCTGTACGACGAAAGACCAACAACGGCATAACCGCAATGTGCTTGTGCCGCTCATGCTGTGAATGCTCTTGGGTTTGTGTTCAGAGCACTCTCAAATTTCACGTGCCGAGGGAAAGGCAGATGGGAATGGGAGCGTTGGTGCACTGCATTTACCGAAAGATTCATCCGGATGTCTGAAACGGCAGTTACTCGAGAACACTTTGATACGCTCGTCCCGATTGCAGAAGCACCCGCACCTGGAGCAACCGTGACCTCGTCACAATGTGTTTGCGCTGCATGTCGACGAACTCCTGCACAGTGAAGCTCTGGTCGTCCGGCAGGTCGACGAGGAGAGTCTTGGAAACGATCTTGAGGTTCTTTTCAATCCTGATGTTTCATTTCGGTGGTTCAGGACACAACAAGAACGACGGCGTGCATAGACGTGAGCCAACAGTTTTAGCCTACGTACTCAAGCTTGGTGGAATCGATCTTCACGTGGGTTTGAACGTACCGAAAGACAGTAGCTGCTTGGTGTGTACCGTTGCGCCCTGAACCAAGAAAACTGCCACCTATGGATCTGGGAGAGAAAACGACGCCGTAGTAGTACACACAGTACTGAAAGAAATAAAATAGACAGTATCAACCTTACGGCGTCTTGCGCTTGTGGAGCCGTCAGTAGCAAGGATTATCAGAGATATAACGTTCATTTATTATTTCTAATGCCTTGACGCCGATCGGCCATGTCATCGCATTCGTCTGCATACGGTACCCTCGCGTATTAACTCTTCTCTACATCGAACTTGACCATTTTAATGATACGTCCACGGTTTCATGGTAAGGAGAGAGAGATCTGCTGACCTGTTCTCGACAATATCATTGATGTTGGACACCAACTCGTCCAGCTTTTGGAGCCCGTGGTGCACCTAGCATCCAGTGAACATACGGGAAGGAGGCAAAGAAGACAACAACATCAACAGTCGAAGAGCGTCGAGTAGAAAACAGTAACATTTCAATCCAGTTTGTCCTGTTGCTTTTTGAGAATTGCGTGCCAAATCTGATCGTGTTTGGCCATGCAGGGAAACTACTCCAGGCCCAAATGTCCCGAAGAAAAACTTACCGGTGGCGGTACTGTATCAATGTAGAGAAGGTCATAATATATTGAAGAACCGGCATTGAATTGGGAAAGCTTACTTGATCAAGGGAGAGCACGTGCGAGCAATGCTACGGTAGGGGGGACACTTTTAAGACATGGGTCACATGCTGTCGCCCGACAAGGTCCATATAAATGCTCGTAACTCTCTCAATTCTTGCATTTCAAGGAAATCAATTCTGCCCAGGCAACCGCCTGGCGTATACTCGCGGTGTGCAAAACAATAAGCATGTTTTCCATTGGTTGAGGCAGTACACACCAGTCCGCCAAAACACTCCATGTGACCGAGGGGGTACTCCCTATCGTAGCATCTCTCGTGCATACAAAGATGGCAGAACAGGCGCTTGGAAGCGTGCCAAAGTCGAATTGAAAAGCACAACGCACTCAAAAGCGTCACCTGTCCCTTGTAGGTATCGATATTCATGCTTGTCCACGTCAGCGTGATCATCCCCGGCCTCAGCTTGTACTCCATATCGTTGAAGTGAGGCCGCAGGACCATTGCGGTCACAGGGATAACCTTCGTTTCATTCACCATGAAGTGAGAACGAACGGATGAGAGCGCGGAGGGGTGTCCACAGGAGGATAGTTTGAACGGCGTCGTGGTTGATGGCAGCTATACACCCACCCCGTTTTCGCAACCGGAGAAAAAGGGTCTCCAACCTCCATCCACAAATCAGGAAGGAGGGAGAGGGATTACCATCGCTCCTGCTTATGCTGCTGGTGCTGGTGGTGTTGAGCGTTTAACATCGACACAGGGGAAGTTGGGAGATGTCCACCGACGTCGCGAACCTACACACTAGACCGCACCGTTCCTCTGCCACGACGCCGTTTCTCTCGGCTGGGATCGTCCGGCACCTCGCCTTCACTTTCAACTACTCCCGGAATGCACTCATCTGTCCATGACCCCTCTCCGAGGAAAGGACAAGTACCTAGGCAACGGGTGGAGCAACCATTGATGCCACCCACCCACCCACCCACCCACCCCTATGCCTTCGTAGTCTAAAACATAGAAGTACATACCTCGGTCACAACGCGATCGTACTCGGTTAGGGCCCAGTGGAGATCGTGGTAGTAGCTCTTGAACTTTACTTCCTGTGGGGGTCGATTGTTGCGGTGTCGTTTTAAAACGGGGGGGGTGGGGGGCTGGTGTATTTCGTGACAAATGTGGAAGAAGTTCGAGGCAGCTCGAGAGGTGCACAGCTCTTTCAGTTCTCGAAAGTCATGTTAGTGGCTAGAGTCGCTGGTTCAATTCTCGGCGAGGCGTGTTCATTCCGTGTTTCGCAATTAGTAGTTGGAGAGGTGGAGAGCTAAAGAGCGGTAGTTTGTGAGTATCAACTTGAGGGAATTGCGGCCGAAGCATTCTCGTGTTAAACCTTTAACAAGCACCGCAGAGAAATTATTCTGAGTGGGCAAGGGTGTAGGGGAGTAACGCACTGGGGAACGATAAATCAAAAACAAATGATGCGGAAGAGATTGGGGCGCGTAAGGGTGACAAATAATTTTCCCCCCGCCGAGAAAAATTAGAGAAAGTAGACAATGCTCAAGTGCAAGGCGAGCAGATGCAAGATCAGACTGTGTGCTGCTGTTGTTGCTGTTTCTGGGGTGGTGGATGTGTTATTTTTGTTTTCGTGTTACACCATCTATCGTCGTGGTCGTTGTTGGTCGACGTAGTTGAGGGGGGTTCACGAAGCAACCCCGCGTGACCTAGCACTCGAATAATTGAATTCTGTTGAATTCCGTGTCAATCTATCAACAACACAACTGCGTTGTTGCTAACCTGGAACAAGGCGATCTTAGCCGATTCGGGAATCTCTATCCCCATGCGGTCGAGAATCTTGGCCTCTCTGATGAGCTGAAGAATCTCCTGGTCGAAGTTGACGTACAGCTTGCCATCGTCCGGATGACGAATGATAAGCGTCGCCTGTTTCGGTTGTGTAGACACGTTTGACCGGCTCAAGTGGCGATCGTGGTGACGAAGGCGACGACGATTTTTCTAGTGAATCGAGTGGTCAATGACAAGAACAAGCTGGAGGCTCATTGTTTCTAACCATTGTGGAACTGGATGAACGAAAACCAACATGGTCGGCATGCCGCATGCAATGAAAAACAAGACGGGTAGTGAAGTACGATTTGTTTCACAGTCTCAATCACGTACGTACCCAGATGATGTAAGATTCTAACAAAACTTCACTACTTGCCGGAGACAATCCAACGCAGGTCAACCGATCCGGCGCATGCTTCAACCACAAACAATATTCATGTTTCAGTGGTAATGTTAACAAGCCTTAGTGCGGGATACCCTGACACCCTCAACCTCCCCCCGGCAGAGCCTCCTCACCTGCAGCCCCGCCTTAGCTTGCTCGATGCTTTGAACCCAAGCCTGGTACCAGAGGTACTCAAACGCGACCAAGGTCCGCGCCACTTTGTTGTAGATCTATTCCGCCGGTAGATCACGGCCAGAGAGCGGGGGGGGATAGGGCAATCAGGTAAAAGAACCCTGTCCCTCAGATGCTGGCGCACGCTTGAAAGGTTCAAAGACGTTTTGAGTGTCGAAATACTCAAATTCTGCTTCAATGTTCGGTGCCTTAAAGGAACCTGGAAAAAAGCGTGTTGGTCAAGATCGCCTCGACAAGGAGCGAGTGGAAAGAGTTAGGTGTCACCAGTGTAAAAGCGCTTGAATGCCCCAATCGCATAGCGATTCGAAGATAGAGCCGAGTCACCTGAGAAGGCACTTCTTCCGAACACAATGTTGTGCAACCGAGTCCAATTCGGCAACAACCCACCTTGATGATTCGCTTGGCATCTTTTCCAGCGAGAACATTCTGGTTGCTCTCGAATTGCTTCATAGGTTCTTCGATGCGCTTCAACAAATGCCTGCCGAAGGGTGACAACACGTATGGACGAATATGAGGGTCCCGCAAAACATGCGAACACACTACCAACAACTCCTTCACGGCCGACGATATTCCGGATATTTTCGGACGTTTGAATCGAGCCTCCTTCTTACCATGAGGTGCGACAATGCACATTCCGACATGCGGGGTTTCAAGGCTACGAAGGCATAAATAGGGGGAGTACCATGCGAGAAGGGTTGTTGGCGTAAAAGCCAAAACGAGCTTTCGAAGAAGCGTGCCGCAGTCTCTTGAGTGAAAATTATTCTCACACGCAGTATCGCGCAGGAGGCAATGAAAGACACTTACATTCAATTCGAGTTTTGGTCCACAAATCCTGCAATGTCTGCACCTAGACCAATAAATAGGATAGTCCGCGATGTGCACGCGCTGCGGCCAGCGCTGCTGCACGTGCCGCACGTGACAATTTTTGTCCCCGTAGAACTCACACCTGGACCAGGTGATGTTCCCAGCCACAGGGGGAAGATTGCGAGAGATCGGAGGGTCGTGCTTCTGCTTCTCGTACAGCTGCTGCACTTGCTCAAGCTCCATCCCGTAGTTCTAAGTTGGTTTTCACCACAGAAACGAGACGCGTAGGACACCAGTTGGGGTGATACGCGATACTAATGATTCGTTGACGAGACACGTCGTCCCTATGAAGCGAGTCATTCGCGGCAAAGACCTCGCTGGTGGAGCAATTATCGTTGGACCAACATGGACGTCAACGACGATTTGTGTCGCTTTTCAGTACCCAGGCTCAGACCCCCACTTTTTGCTCACGTCGCATTGCCGGCGGACCTCAGACATGCACGCCGTTTAGAAATCCATTCCAGCCGGAGGCATCAAAATACCACGCCACAGCGTAACAATGAATGACACAGGTGACATGTTACGGGTTCATCTGCTGATTCGGTCTTCAACTCATTCTACCGTGAATTCCTATTATGGTTAAAGTATGTTCTCATTATCTCGACAACCCGATCTTCATCTCTTCACCTGTCTCCATCGTGTGGCACACCATTACGCACCTGGAAAATAATGTTGAGCTTCGAGTCGAGGTCCGACTTGAGGCTCTCTCGTTGCAGGATAGATTGAAACTTGTGCAGAAGCTTCAGGGAGTGCTCGATAGAGGTGATATTTTCGAAGCTCTGGTTGATGAATGCCTGCAAGAAAGAGGAATTGTGATGAGAAACGTCAGTTGAGATTTGCTGGGTGCAAGCACGGTAAGTCAGGTAACAGTCAGTTACCTGACACACGCTATAGAACGACCGCTTCGTCCAGATGGCGAGTGGAAGGTGAGTTGATGAACGCCTGTTCAGGCCAATGACAATAACAAGTCTTGGCGAGTTTTGATGCTCGCGAGTAAGGTGGACATCTACACTTGGAGATATGTCTGGGGGTTCTTCATTATTGACTACTCGCCGAACAAAACAGACAAGAGATCGCTTGGTGAGACATGCACATATTTAATGTGATTATTGTGCTATGCAACAACGTGCTCTCGATAGTGTGTGCTACTCTTGAGGTTTTGCCTCGGTTGTGTAGACTAACAGGTGTTTGACACCGCCACTAATAACGATAACGACAACACGAACACCAAAAAAATGGTACACAACTCGCGACAAAATCTTGCCTGGAGACTGCATTCCAAATCCGAGATCTTGACGTTGAACTCCACGTAGTCTCTATCGAACTTGTTGTTGTGATACGCCAGCAGGTCGTGCCGCTTGAGACGGAAGTCCTTGACGATGGAGTGGAACTGGTCGATAAGGCCTTCCATTCCTTCCAACTTCAGGCGAAGCAGCAAAAGGGATTGTTTCAACATCGGGAAACGAATGGAAAGCAAGATAGACATCGTTCAGCCAAACGCCACCCACAGTAAGCGGATATGACTGGTTTCGACCTTCATTCCCCTTAAAAGCGGAGGGGGACAGAGAATAGCATTTCCCTTCGGTGAGCAGGTTCTTACGGGCTACCCTTGGAGAACCTTCGGCCCAAATCGATGACTTCGAATCAAATTCCGTCTTCGTGCCTCCTTGCTTCCGTCCGATGTAAAGGTTTGCCCCCAACACTTGCCGTACCTTGTTCTCCGAGAGCGAGTTAAACTGGTCGATGGTGCTGAACATGTCAATGAGCTTGATCACCCTTCGACAGAACAGGTCGAATTTTCCTGTGGCGGTTCATCAAACAGGATAAATACACAACATAGGTTGCTAATCTTGGCAGATTCGAGCACATTCAACAGGAAACGTTAAACAAACAAACGACCAAATCTAACGAGCCTTGCAATCATCACAACTTGCCATAGACCAGGTCTGTCTGTGCGACTGTCACCAAAACATGCGTTTCACTCCCCTGTGATGACGCACTTTCGCACTTTCGAACCGGTGGACAGGGCCTGCATGGCGTGTACACTCCCCACCCCTCGAATATCGTCAATATCGTACCCCACTTATATCATTGACTGTGGTATCTGCCGCAGTCCCCGCCTCCCGAATACGTTCTCACTCACCCTTCCGTCTACACCCATTCTTCTACCTTTCACTGTGGAAGATCTCGGTTGGTCTCACCAAATATTTCCGTCTCGCTGAAGTCGAACTGCTTCCCCCTTGGGGTCTGCTGCAGTTTAGTCTTGGTCAGACGGTACTGTTCCTGGTGGGCCTCGTTGAGCTTGAGGCATGATTCCAGCTGCCGGACTAGTTCTTGGGGGTCCTGCGAAAGGAGATGTGAATGCAAAACGTTGGATTGGAAACATCCGTTGTCGCGCAAGCCGCCGTCGGATGGCTGCCTTCGTGTCATATTTGGCGTTGGCTCGAAGTACGCAGGAGGCGGTGTTCTGAGAATGTGTCTCTAGCCGAACCAAGAAGCATGAGAGCAATGGCTCCAGGTGCCGCGAACTGACGTTTCTCACACCTTTTCCCAGAGAGCGTCCATGTTGTCCTTCCCCGTGATGCAGTCTTTGCAGTTTACGATCATCTGGTCCGTAATCTTCCCGAACAGCCCGGTCATTCGTTCTGTTGTGTTGTAATACCTATTCGGCGGGAAGCATCGATGCGGCATCTTTAGCCAATTTTGGCTGTGTGCTGAATCTTCCCTGTCCCCGTCATGGTTACTCTCGGAACACACGATGTGCCTCCTAGCAATCGTGGCCTTTCCCAGGCTTGTGACGTTTCACGAAAACTCGGACAAGACTGCTACCTGGCAATGGTATGTATCATCTTGATGCTGTTTATGAGGGCCGGCAGTGTGTCGATGATGGTCGTGGCGGTCCCGCTGTACAGGGGTTCGATGAAGCGCTCCAGGGTATAGAGGAACTTCACGTTGTCCTTCGCCTCATTCGCGGCCTCGGTAACGTTCACGTCAATCTGTGTCGTTCCAACGTAGGGAGACCGAGCGTCGACATGGTTTCATCCACCACCAAACCGTGCATCAAAGCTGGAGAATGTCATCGGTGTAGGGCAATTGTGGTCGTTTTTTTATTGTTCGCGGCCTTTTGTATGATCTCGGCTCAACGTGCCGTCGCCGAGGAATATTTTTGATCGGATTGGACACTGGAATCAGGTCGCGTTCGCGATACCTTGGTAAAACTGCCAATTGATCCAACATTTGAGAAATTGTACCTACCGCCGTTTGGTTGATGAATAGCTGTTGGTGAGTATGAACGAGGAAACCGTTGAACCGTGAAACATGCCAACAAACTCAAGAACACCCCGCGTTACTCTCCGAACCAATCGACCGCACTAGCACATGAATCGTTTGACCAACACCTGCTATGCGTCACATGCGCCCACCTGTTTCCATCTCCGCAACAGGTTCGCAATCTTTTGCTTGCTTGGGTCGGCCGAATTCTTGGTGAGGGTGGACAAGAGTCCGATCACATCCTTGCAGTCCTGCAAGACCACATCATCCGCCACCCCCACAAACAACACGCAAAAAATGCAGAAATAGTGCGAAAATCAACATCGGATTGAAGCAATCATTTCGTGGTGGGTGGGCGTGGCAACGAAGCCAAAGAGAATGATAGTGTGTGGAGCACTGGCGCAAATGTCAAAGCTGACCCGGTAAGCGCGTTCTTTGTTTGCTCCATCGCCGCATACGAAAGATTTCTCCATGTTCGGGTTCACAGAAAAAAGCACAGCTTGTATAACCGCCCTGGTCAGGAGAACATTCGTGGCACATCGACGAACAACGTACAGTAGCGCATGGCTGGGCCACGGTCAACTGGCTCTGTTCACAGTTACAACAGCACAGTACCTTTCGCTTCAGCTGCTCAGTGATACTGGTGAGCCGCTGCATTCGATTCCGCCAGTACTCCAACTCGCCCTTTGGACCTGCATCGCGCCCCCCTTCCCCATCATCGCCAACACTGCGCCAACGGACGTATGAATTGTTCAAGATTGACGAGTATGGAACTTAGCGTATTCGGTCGAAGGGTACCATATCCAAATCGCCCAGTGATATCGAAGAAGATAGGCACAATCGGCAAAGTTGGAGATCTCGGACCGCTTCGGCCGCACGTGCACTTTTCCTTCCAGTGGAATGTCAATCCAAAGTCATTGCGAAAGTTTTTCCGGTTCTACGCCACTACCACAAGCGTCTCGTCGGTCGACTGCCCTTTTAGAGTCAATCTTGGCATCCATCCCTTCCCTTTCTCCATCTCGTACGCACAAGTGTTTGGATGGATACTCCTTCATATCAACAGGGGAAACATAAGCTTGTCACACATCACGATACCTCTGCTCCATTTTTTTCTATTTTGAATCTCCTGGATACCACCGCCCTCGAGACCTGAGATGCTCCATTCTGGAAAGACGGAGCACCACGCACAGCTGCTCGGAAATAATTGCTACCATCAAAGGCACTTCTATGAACAGTTTATTCCTTTGCGCTTACCACTCTCGAGGGTTGAGATATTCCTCTATTTGATTGCACCATTCCTCCAACAGGTTCTCGAACCGCGGAATCAGCTCAGGGTTTTGGTTCACCCTCTGTTTCAGGGTGGTCGAACGGATACGAAACCAAATTGATCATCGTTTCGGTGGGATAGGCGCATTTTCGATTTCAACAGAACGTTGTCCACCGGGGGGTGAACTAACATGTCGATCACTCCCTAAACTATGTATGCACTCCGCCAGATCTCGGGCTACGACTCTTTCTACCCCCTGCACAAGACGGTACATTGTGCATGCTTGCACGGACACTGAGATGGGGCTAGGCACAACGGCAGAGTTACTGGGCGACGACCGCAACTTAGATAGCACCCGTCTGCTCTCGCTTGCCTGCGTGAAATTTCGAGTGTCGAGACATTCAGAGCTCTCCCTCGTCTCGGAGTCCATGCCCCGCAACTCCAGCCCCCCCACCAGCGACTTCAAGCCCTCCTTAAGCGCGTGGATAAAGTGGTCTGTCTCCGCCAGAAAGTCAACCTGGGTCCCGCGGAACACGGAGATGGGAATGAGGGCAATGACTTACAGATTGCTGGTCTAAAGTTCATTGGCAAGGTTCATTCGTTTGGGTGTAGAGGAACGGATCTATTTTAACCGGGAATCAAAGGAAAAACTGAAAAGTGGTTAAGATCAGTGTGATAAAGAAGGGCAAACAAGGCACATCGCTGAAAGCGCTCGCATCTAGACCACCTTCGACTTCTTGAGCAGGCACGTTGTGAAACATTCTTCAATTCACCCTTTGTGCATCTGGAATCACGAAACAGAGATTTCGTCATTTAGTCCTTCAAGAACTCGTGCTCAAGAAGGAAGACAACAAACTACGCGATATTCGAAGGCGATGAAGATAAACTATAGTAAGTGGTGCATGTCGCCAACAACGTTGAACAAATATCATGTAAAGTTTATGTGGACGTCAGGGGTATTTGAGCACAAGCACTCGTAGACATGTTTTCCCAGCCACAATCACGGCAATCTCCCCTGTTTTGCTTGTGGAACTTGTGAACAACGTCGAGAAAACCCGTTGAAAAACAAACGAAATTGGGCAAAAGAGATACCGACCAACTTTGAGCTTGTGTAGGCAACGACTGTGGCGATGTCCTTGCCGGAGCTAAGTGTGTTGGACCAAGTTGGCCCTAAGACCGAAAGATGGTTCATCGAAGAGTAAGATACGAGAACGAAGTGAAGGAATCGGAGAGCACTCAGATTACCTTTTGTTCGGTGTCTGCCTTCCCCCAGCCGTCGCTCTCGCTAAGGAGGGGTTTAAGGAACCTGCTGAGAGCGGCCTCGATACCGGCGAGGGCGCTACCGCTGATTTCTCCAAACAACAACGACTGGTCTCCTCCGCTTTTCCCAGAGGTCGAGTAGGTACGACAAAGAGAGTGTTGAGAGACGACGCACAAGGGAGTTGTCATGAAAAGGGGACGGAGATCGACGTCCTTCATGCCCCAACGTGACACACGGTAATATCTTACAATTAGCCGTCAAGGCAAGGATTCTGGCCATCTCTCCAAACAAGGAAGAAGGGTCTCTGTGGCTGAAATAGCCACATCAGAGCTTGTGAGAGAAGCAATGAGGGAGCATTCGGGAAAAAGACTTGTTTTCATGAAGGATGAAGAAGTTGACGATTTTATGACGTGAAAGGGGGGCGGAGTTGCAGGTTGGCTCAATAGACGGCGGTGCGTGCAACGTATGAAAGTCGTGCATAATAAATGACGGCGATGTGAGTTTTATGTGTCGAAAGTACTCCGCAGCACGGATAGTTCCACTGGATGATCATCGAACGCTATGAAAATATGGACGTCGGTAGCTTTACGCTTGGGCTTTGCACTCATGTCTCTTCTGGTCTCAACATTAGGACGCCCTACATGTTTTCCCTTCGGCTTTCCAACTCCCCCCTGCCCCTCCCCTTCGCATTCCGGAGCACGATCGAACAGTTTCTAATTTGATGAAGGCATTGTTAAGTAGACTTCCATCTTGCATTTGAGTCAATAAGGTCGGCGTTGGTCAATTGTGCTTACTTTGTGACATCCCAGAAGCAGGTTTTTCTCTCCCGCTCACAGAGTGTGGGTATATCTGTTTGGGTGCCTATTCCACCTTACTGTATCAATCAACGCTCAATTCCTCGGTGTTCCCGGACCAACATCAGCAGAAGCTGGACAACTCGATTCTTCATAACACACCACAGCAGTAGGTCAGACGTGCTTCGGAGCTCATCAACAAAGAATACCATCCAGCGCGACACGACAGGCGAAAATAGACCCTTGAGATTCCCGAACGCCCTTTTGTAAAGCGTTTGCACTCCCAAGCGTAGAACTCTTGCCAGTACTGACTGGTGTACCTGGCCGTATCTAAAGATGCACCCTCCTTGGCGTTCCGCAGGAAAAAACAGCACTTGTTGGACAGCAGTTCGCTAGCCCCGTCGGTCACAAACAGTTCCGTCCCACCTGCTTCATCCTTTTTTTGTCGTGTTGGCCCGATCGCAGGATACAGTTACGGGTGGATGTATACACGGGTTTGTATGCGCACGTTGATATGGGTACATCGAAGCGCCGGGAATGCACGTGCTTGATACTTCTACGTGCGCGTGGATGCTGCGAACACGCGATTCGACGGCTTGCCCGGTGTACTCTTCTCTCAGCAGTGGTACAATCAAAATTGTGCCCCCATGCGGACGAAACACCAACATCGACAACATGTTACACCCTCGACACATCACCTCGTCTGCTCGGTCGGCGGCCTGAAAGTACACAAAAAGTCTGTTGGGGCCATCGCCAGCGAAGAGGCTGTTGAAACGGGTCAGGTTCTCGTCCATCCGCATAAACGCCTGCGTTCATTCCGACAGACATGAGAAGACGACCAAGATAACGCAGAAACTCTCAATGCGCCGAGACTTGAACACAGCCGGCAGGTTATCAAGCCAGGTTGGGCGGCGTTGCTGTTTCATTCATTCGGGGTGTGCTTGTGTTGTCACCTCACCTATTATCAACGGTATACCGATGCCTTCCTGCTGGGGTACTTGCCCTGCTGGCTTGGCTTAAGGATTCAGCTTGAAAATGCTTCGGCGACAGTGAAATGACTCAGAAACCAGGTGCAAGGCACGCTGGTAGAAAAAAGGCAAAAAACTATCATCCGTTCGAGACTAGGACGTTTGTTTGTCATTCACTGTGTGTTGCTCGGCGCTCTTTCGTCGTTCGCAAAATCAGTGAGAAAACAGATGGGTGGTAGCTTCTCTAGGCCTAGTTGGTGCAAGCGTTTCTAACCCGTCTTGTCACCTTAAAAATGTGCATGAACTAACAAAGATATCAATGCACGTTCTCTCGGCGTGGATGGATGGATAGGAGGACCAGTCGTGATTCCTCCGACGGTGACTTCCTGCTTCTTGCACCATGTGGACCCAGGGTTTATCATCGCACAGCCGTACAAAGTCTAAATGCGCCGTAGAACTTGTCTACATGTAGTCTAGACTACAGCTACCCTACAGTACATGGTCGATTGTAGTCCACAGGTCTACAGCAAACTGTACGTCAAAAACACATGCGTCTTCCGAAGTTGCGCAGCATTTCCTCGTCAATACATGTAGCAGCAGATAGACGCAAGAAAACCACAGAGGCAACAGGATTCACCTCACACGGGTAAGCCCATAAGCAATGGTTTTCGTCAGTAAGTTATGTACCCTCTTCTCCGCTTTCTCATCTAGACTACCACATACATGCACAGAGAGCCTGTAGTAGCTAGTGCTGTACGCTGCACCTGTGATTTGCTTGCGTCGACTTCCGGGCCGAAGGCTTCGACAAGCTTGGACATACACCATCGATGTCTAGCCGTCAGGGCCATGACGACCAAGCCTCGCCCGTCAGTACCGTGTAGTGCTGCTGGACCTTAGTTATACCCAGCCACTACTGCGCTTATTTCTCTCGTCCAATAGAGTCACTTCGACGATGGTCGTGGACTTCAGCAATAATATAGTCGTCCACGACGCCGATGGATCCAAAAGCTGGTCGGTGAGGCGATGCTTCGAACACACACACTCTCGCAGACCTGTGAGGGCCCACAATGCGCGGTCAAGCACAGCACTGGTGCCAATACTCTCTTGCCCCCAGTTCTGTACAATCCGAGAGGTGCATGTATCGCGAAGTACGACGTTGCGCGGAACCGCCATAACGCGACGAACCAAACTCTCAGCCGAGAATTAATTCAACAGTTTCGGTAATCGCCTCCGAATAATCGTTGACGCCTTTTTCTGGTACCCTCAGAGGCAGTCTGCGCGCGTTCGAAAAGCAAATGCGGCACTTGGCGGCCCTCTCTAGGCGAATCCTCTATATCTCAACGACACATGTACACTCTAGTACACCG